AGCAACTAACCTCAAATACTTAGATAATAACAAAAGGAATCCAGCAGCTAGGAAGCACTTCTGGAAGACTTCCTTCTGTTCTCCTTTTCATTTCCAGTGATGTGGTTTCAGTGGCTGATGTTTTTGTTCCTACCTACTGTTTACTGTGCACCCACCTGCCCCTTCCAGCTGCCCCTCAACAGGAAGAGGACGGGGAGAGGTAATTAATGGCAGGGCAGGGTCAGTGCACAGCACAACCAAGCTGTGGACAGAGCCATCCCATCCGAGGAGAAGCAAAGTAGGGTGCACACAAGCAGGGTGACAGGGTCAAGGGAGCAGCTGGGCCGGAGGCCACTTCAAACGCTCTCTTTGTTTCTTCACTCTGTCTGTCTGACTTTTGTCCTATGCCTGCCTCTTTGTGTCCTTGTCTATAGCTTGGGGTTCCCACCCAGGACTCTTTCCTCTTTCCTCCTGTTGTTGGTTGGGCTCTCTCCCCTGCCCTCTCCTTTCTCTCTTCCAAATCCCCACTCCTTCTTTTCTTCCCCCTTCTCCTTTTTCCTTGTGCTCCTCTCCTCTCCTTTCTCTTCCTTTGTTTCTTTCTCCTCTTCGCTTCCCCTCTTTCTCCACTATTCCTCTTCCACTCTTTTTCCACTTCTCTTGTCTCTCCAGTTCCCAAGCTTTCCTCTCCTGCTTTGGCATCACTTTGTTTTGTTTTGTTGGTTTTTTTTTTTTGTTTGTTTGTTTGTTTGTTTTAGTCTCTCCTCTCTTTTTCTCTGTCTCCTGAATCTTTTACTTTTTGACTCTCCTGTCACTTAGCTTTTCTTACATCTCCTCTACCTTGCTTCTTGGCCTCCTTTTACCCCACTTCTTTATGGCCTCTGTGTCTGGTTACAGATGTTCTCTCTCTGCCCCTCTCTCCTGTGTGATAGATCTCTATCTGGCCATCTCACCTCTATTTATGATCTATTTCTCATCACAGCCCTATCCTTATGCTTTGTATTTGAATTTTAGAATCCTTTCACATACTGCTTCATTCTGAATATGCTAGAATATGCTTAATAATTAAGGCTGTAATTAAAGTGTAAGAGCAAATATAATTAAAGTGTGTTTTAGTGGATCCTGGAATGATGAAGCAATTATGCATTTTGACACGGCACTGAAGGAGTAGCCGCGTGGAAAGGATGTGTTTTTCTCAGAAGCTGCTTGTTGTGCCCTCTTCCCCTGAGGGCTCACCAGCCTTACCTGGAGCAAGGCCTCTCAGGCCTGAGAATCACGCAGCACCAAGACAGGAGTCATGGCAGCAGCTGGAGTCCTCAGTGGGGTACATAGCCTGCTGCTCCAGGGCCCTCTAGAGACAAAGGCCAAGACCCAAGCCTTTGGAGTTCCTTCCAAGTAGATGGTTCTCATGTCAGCTCCAGCATTTCCAGTTTCTGTGTCAACCCCATTGGGAAAGGGCTGGTAGGGTGGGGGCAGCAAGGGTATCACAGGATACATACCACATCTTCCTTGGACGCACTTTCTGTGATAGTCTGTCCGCATACACAGGGAATGTTACAAGTGTAGTAAGATGTCCCACAGAGCAAGTCTCCCAAAGCGAAGCATCTTTTCAGCAGGAAAGAGGGACATGGCACTTAACCATGCAGTAGAGCATAGTTTGTGTTCTGGATTTGCAAGTGCAAAGTTCTCTGGAAGTTTATTTAATTAACCTTTGTTTTAATTGGGTATTTGGAAGGTAGTGCAAAGGAAGACGTGTAATATACCAGTGCTCATGAATATGTATCAACCTCAAGAAAGGGCAGCAGCAGGGATTGGGGTCCCCACAAGGACCAGCTCAAATAGATGGTCATTGATTTCCAAATCAGGTCTGCCCTCCCCCCGTAGGAATATTGATGTCACATCAAATACTGAAAAAGCTGTTAACTAAGGGACTGGGATGTTTAGACAAAAGAGCAATTATTATTGTAAATCATTTCAGAAACAAATGCATAACGTATTTTGATCACATTCATGTCTCCTATTCCCCACCTCTATGCCCCCTCTTAAAAAAACATGGGGGAAAAAAGTGATGCAGAGCTTTTCACCCTGCACGTGGATAAGATGTTAGGCAAAGCTGACTCGTCCATTCTCAGTGGGCAGGCAGCAGAAGACCAGGAGATAAGATGGGGCCAAGTCCAGGAACAGCATTCCAGCTGCTGTGTATTGAGATCAGAGTATGCTCCGAAGAGAAAAAGAAAAAAGAGAGGCGAGTCTTTGCTATCTTAACTTAGATGTCTGCTCATGCCTCTATTGAGGAAGTAGAAATTTACACATTGAACTTTCATTCACCTTCTGGTCCCAAGAATAATGCTGTTCTTCATCAGTCTGGGGCTCTGACTTCACATTTTTTTTTTTGTTCCTACATGAGAACCAGCCTGCAGATTAATGTCTAAATTCCTTAGACCCCTAACATCTGCCACCATCCAGTCCCCTGTCCTGCTTTTCAGCCTCTGGGACACTGGCTAAAACTTTACCAAGTGAATCAAAATGCACACTGAAGTTATATTAATAAAATAATAAGCTTAACATGTATGTTATCTATCCATGTATATAACAAATGATACCAAAAGTTAGGGCCTCCGTGGTAGAGCACTTGCCTAGCATGTGCAAAGTCCTGAATTTAAGCCCCAATACTGTGAAAGGAAAGCCCCCTTAATCCCCCCAAAATAATCCTCAGCATTACGAAAGTACCGCTTATTCCACAGTGTCTGTAGCTGGGAATGGTATATGATATAGCCATGTCTTCACACTCAGGGTCTCTCACAAGGCCGCATCCAAGTGTCAGCAGACATCTCTGGGCCTGGGTAGGGAAGAACTCACCTCCAGTGTGCAGTTCCTCTGATGGCTTCACTCCTTGCTAGCTGCCCTCAGATCCTTGCCAATGGGCTTCCCCAGAGGGCAACTTACAGCATGATTATTGGCATCAGGAGAGTAAACAAATGAAGGAGTAAAAAGAGCAAAACAGAGCCCCAGGCTTTTGTAACCTGGTCTCAGAAGTGACTTTCCATCACTTTGCCATATTCTGACTCCTCAGAACCTAGAAACCGGGTTGCAACCACACTCAAGGGATAGTATTATTCAAAGGCAGGAGGCAGGATCACTCAGTTGATCAGTTGAGATCCACTTACTTTAGAAGCTGCCTACCAGCTTTAGTAGGAACGTAGTTATGTAATGCAGACCAGTGCTGAAATGACAGGCAGGGCCTTTTGCTCTTGACAAAATGCTTTCACAGATTTCCTTTCATTTGCTAATCATCACAAATAATGGTATCAGTTGTACTGTCTTCACTTTACAAAGAAGAACGTGGACTAGCATACCCTTCAGGGAGAACAGTTAAATGTCTAAATCCTTAGCTTCTGCTACTTGCCACCTGGTGACCTGTTCTTGCCACCTCTGCTACTTGCCACAGGAAAGGTATTTCACTTCTCTGGGCCTCACTTGCCTCATTTATAAAAGAGGCTGTAAGACCTGCTCATAGTGCTTGTAGAGATTCATGTGCTACATGTAAGCTTCTTGGCATTATGTGTGGCATACATAAGCACTTAATGGGAGTGAATTTTGAAGATAATGATGAGTATGTGTATGAAAATAAAGAAATTTAAGCTCAAAGAAAATAAATAATTTCTCCAAAGCTATGCAAAACAAATATACTGCAGAGGTGAGCATTTTAGGATTTGGCAACATCCCTACCTCTCAGGTTGTTGCTTCCCAGAGGGCCTCATTGTCAGGTGCCTATGTAGACCAGCCACAAGGAAACCTCAGCCCAAAACAGTGCCAAGTGCCTCCTTCAGAGTTGCTCAGTGGTCTTCTGGTCCAAGGGGAGCCCATGCTGCCTTGCCTTTTTAGCTGAGCTACCAGTGCCTCACTGGCCTTTGTCTGTGTGCAAATCAAGCTGATCAAATGCCCATTGTCCTTTATACTCTAGTAAAACAGCTTCTCCAGTGCCTATATTTCAACATCTTTGTTTATAAGTAAGTGTTGTCTTGCTAACTGGATAAATGCACAGAAAATGATCCTAACTGAGACAGTTCTGTCTCATTGGTCCTAAAGAGTTATTCATTCTGAAAGAACAAGGAAGGAATGTGCAGATTAGAAAGCCAGGTCCCTGGGGGACACCTTTGCATAAGGCAACCTGGCCAACGAATGCTGCATGTCCACCAGAAACAGCCAAGAGCTGTCAACAGACACTGCTCTGCTCATGTTCAATGCCTTTGCCCTTTCTACAGAGTGAGGAGAGAGGAGAAAATAACACACTGGGTATTACAGTACAGCAGACTGGTGAGCACAGAGCAGATTCTCAGAATTTCACATCAGATCAGATCACAACTTGAATCCCTGTTTTTGAGGAAGTATTCAAGAAAGGTGATTTTTGGGATGGGCTACAACCATATTAAGCCCACTTAACTGGATTATTAGGAGATATTTCAGCTTTTATCCATAAAAAAATTCATTTCCTTTATGCAAGTCCCTTATTTCATCTTTTCTAGGTGGGTCACAACTTGAACAGCTTGTTAATAATCTTTCCTGTTAATGATGTTGCTTAGCACTTAGGTTTAACTCATCTCCTAGCAAAAAGCTAAAGGTAGATTAACCCACCAATTCTCAGATATTACCTCAGTATTCCACATCACACCCGTGCCCATGGTCAAATGGATGTGTCATTCTTTCTTTTTCCAAAATAGTTTTCTTTCCACACTCTCAGAACTCTGGGATAAGGCCATTTCAGAAGACTTTCTCATCCCAACTCTCCGAACAATCTTTCTTTGCATATACTGTAATCTTAAAGGAAGTTCATCTTCATTTTTTTAAGTTCCAAAGAAATGCAAGCAGTGTCTTCATACAGTAGATAATTAAAGTGAAAAAAAGAGAAAACATGAATTTGTCATCGGATAATATCCAGTTATCTAGCCATTTTAGGTCCTAGGAAACTTGACAGAGCATCAACAGCAGTTCATCTAGTGACTGTCTGTGATTCCCCCTTTCAGGAACCAATGTGCAAGAGGCCCAGAACATACTCAGAAACAGCGGGCTCCCCATCACTGCGGCGGTGGACCTGGAGGATGCAGCCAAGAAGGCTGTGGCCAGTGTGGCAAAGAAGTAGTGTCTTCTGCCTGCTCCTGGAGCTGTTTTCTCAGTGGCTGCCTCATTGTGAAGAAGAAGGAAAAAAGAGAAGGAAAGAAGAGAAAAAAAACCCAGTTCTCTCACTGGGAGAAAATAAGGGAGGAAATGAACAAGAATCACTGTGTGAAAAATCGTAGATATGTATCTTCTTAGCCTAGTCTGATTTTACTTATGTAGTCATTATAAAAATAATGTCCTCTATTTGCAAACTTTTGCCAATTTTGGGGGCAGTCTGTAGCCCAAGAATGGGCCTATATACAGAAATTTAATTAAGGAAAGCTTGGTTCATTGAGAAGGATATTGGTGAATATTTACCCTATGGTTAAAAAAAAAAACCCACAAACTGTGAAATCCTCAACTGGGATTCTATTTAATATATCAACTGTCAAAAAGGTAGAGCTAAGACATTCAAGCAAATGGTTACTACACACTGTAGCAGTTTTTATAAGTTTCTAATTCCAATACATCTTTTAAAAAACTTACAAATATTCTAAAATATATTTTACTGTGAAAGTTCTACATTAATATACCTTACACTATTTTACCATTTGCCTTAATATTGAATATAGTTTACTTTTTAACCTCAAGTATAGCCAGCAGCCTTATTTGTGATTTTTGTGGTAGAAGGTTTCATTTTAATTTCAGTACTGATGAATGCTGATTCTTATGGACGTCTCTGTAATTCAGTCATTTCAAAATGAGACAACTGAAGATGCACTTGTGTTGAGAGCATCATCTCTCCTTATTCACTGTCACCTACAGGATCTACCACCTTGCAGTAGAAAACTGGGAAAATGTAGTTTTCAAGAAAATTGGCTTTTTTGCATAATGTCCATTTTTGTGAGAAATTTTTAAATTAGGTTTCTATTTAAATTTTGGTAAAATTTTTCTCTTTATGCAAAGTTAAATAAAATCCTATGTTTTGTAAGCACTAAAATATATGTGTGTTTCTCATTTCAGGCACTTTTATTCCTCAGACCATTTTGTTAATAAAATATCAGCCTTTAGACCTTAGGCATAACTCTAAAATTCAAAAATCTCATTTGTCCAGGATTTTCACACTTCCATTCACCTCCATCAGCTAGGCATTTCTGTGGTAGAAAATGACTCAGTGAAACAGTGAAAATTATGTGCAAAGCAGATACCCGGGAACCCGTGTCAGATGTCTGGCGAGTGAAAGTGTGCTGTCTGCTCTATGCTAAGGCAGCACATAATCCTCGTTCTCTCCTTTAGATGCTCACTTGCCACCATTAGCAGTGTCCTTCCAATGTACAGGTCTGTACCTAACCATACTATTCTGTTTGTCTTTTACTAGCTTACATTGTTGTAAGTTTTATATATGGGCAAATTTTAAAAATCATTACTACTTTTTTTATTATTTTAAAGAGGATAAAACCAAGGAAAATAAGACAGAACAAGACCAATCAAAATAAACAAGTATAAGTGATACAGGACTTCAAAACCTTACCAAATCACATTATGCCTTTTGCTGTCTTCCGAATAGTTGCAGATACCATCAGACAGTAAGAATCAAACAGAACAGAAAACAATAAAAACAAAACAATGAATGCAATAAAGGACTTCAAAATAAGCTAATAGTAAATCCAAAATGGCTACCGTAATATGTCTTGCTGTCTTTTAAATAGCTGCTCATGCTCTCAGATTTAATGTAGTCAAAAAAACAAAAAGGAATAAAACCCAACCCAAGGAAACAAAATGATGTGGTTTCCAGGCAGAGATTACCTCATGATGAGGCCTGATTCTCTCCCTCTGCTGTCCACAAATGTGCAGGCTCATGGAGAGAACTTGGGTCTGGCTGCCACTGTGGTAGCGGCCCGTGCATGTTGCTGATTTCTGGGCAAGGATCACTTCCTTGTAAGCCTGGTTCTCTTCCCCTACAGTCTGCAAATGGCACTGACTCGTGGAGAAAGGCATGGATGTGGCTGTCCCATTATTTCCATGGAGAAATAAAACATTGGATAGATCAGCCTAATACCTTTTCTTAAAGACTATGCAATAAATGAAATAAACAATGTTTTTTAAAGTATGTGGTTTTTTTCTGATAGCTTAATAACTAGTTAGTATGGTGAAAAGAAATGAACTTGCATGTAGTCGATTGTCTACCAGTCAACATATTTGAATTTTTGTTCTTTGCAAGTGGCCTGTGTTGGAATCCCCTGTAAATATTGATGTTTTCTAATCAACTGGGTTGGAAGAGGGCATAAAAAAGTCATTCATGTAATTATTTTGTAAAAGAGTAATAGGTAAATAGCTTTTATTTTTCAAAAACTAATTTGTAACAATTTTTTCTTAGAATCTCCAACTTTGTGCATTTATGTTGCTCAAATGGTATCCAAGATTCTGTGCACAGTACATGTTCTCTAGGTATTTGTAGAGTGGATTACTGGTCATGGGTGCACATGCATATAGACCCTGCTGTATCAATGTATACTGTGCAAAACTAAGCATGAAACTCAAGTGTCCATTCTACCTGAACTTCTTAGTGTGCAGAGCTAACTTGCTAATCTACCACAGACTGACACAGTCACAGAACAAATAGCAGATTTAGAGATTTAGTCCTGACCCTACTACTTAACCAATGTTTATTTCTTTGGGTTGTTTATTGTGTTTGTCCACACTTTGTTGTAACAAAAACTCAACTTGATCTTTGCAAAGGAGGAGATCTATTTTACTCTTTTGATTATAAAAAACAGAGGTTGGTGGTTGAAGATAAGGCTGGACTCAGACTCAAACCCATTAACATCTGATCTCTGTACATCTCAGGCCATCTTATCCCTGTTGGTTTCATACTCAGGTCGACCACTTCTACCTGGAGATACAGGGGTGTGCCATCCCAGGCACACAGCCTCAAGCTTAGCATCCACAGGAGAGGAAAGGACAGGGAGACTAGAAAAGATTAAATGAAATAGAAAGTGAGGATGAAAAGAAGGAAGCTTCTCTTTCTTGGTAATTCTAAGAAACATCCCAGAAGTCGGTATTGATGACTCTAGTGGCCAGTTTCGGGTTAGGAACCTATGCCTGGACCAGTTCTGAGAAGGAAGCCACAGTGTGCTGCTAGGTGCAGCCTAGGTTAAGCCTCACTTGTTTTCCTGGATTGGAGGCCACCTTAACTACTGAGACTGAAAGCCAGGAAGAAGTAAGGCTAAGGAAAACGGCAGCCCCTACATGAATAAGTGGCATATACTCTGAAAAAAGAAATATCAACCACAGTCATCAACTACATTTGCTTGCTACTCTTGCAATTCTATTCGAATGTATTCCTCTTAGTTCTTTGGGGTCCTTTTGCCCCTCATGTCTGAGTGTACAGATGCTCCTCAAGTTACCCGAGTATATCTTGAACCTAAATGTCCATATGAGAAGTAATGGCACGGAGGCACCTAGTTCCATTATGGTTTTCTACTTATGGTGGAGTTCTTAGAATAGTAAAATAGCCAAGAAACTTTTAAAATAACCTAATCAGACCTGTAAATCATTTTAATTATTTTATAATCTGAATCTATTTCCATTTCTCAATTTACTGAGAAAAATAATCATCCCGAAAAATTGTGTGTGCTTATAAAAGTGAAAGACTTAATAAAATAAGAAAAACTATTTTTGACACTTCCAAAGCAAACATTTAAACCATAATATAATACTTTGTAACGTGTTCAAAAGTTAAATAAATGAAAAAACAATAGCAAAAAGATTGGAAAATGCTGTCATATAAACTTATAAAGGTGGCAGACAAAGGCATGATGGTCTGTTTTAGTAAATTAAGTTTAACTGAAACACAGTGACACCATTTATGAAAACCATGTCTGTGGCCAAGTTTATGCTACAGGAGCAGAGTTAAGTATTCATGATAGAAACCTGGCCCTGAAAAGATGCCCTTTTGGCCCTTTACAAAAGAGGTTCACCAACCCTCGGTCTAGATACAATTTTTAAAAATACATCATTCCTCCAAATGACAACAACAGATGTAGGAAAGGCAGATGTAGGTATTAAAGTGAAAGAGAAATTTTATAAAAAGTAGGAAATACAGCTTTTAATCTTTCTGTTTTAAGCCCATGAGAACTTTGGAGTCTCCCTGGGGCCCCGTGCCAGTGGAAACCTATCCAGCTATGTAAATTTGTGTCTTTCCATCACAGGAACTGTCTACTTGTTGTGCTTTTGAACATATGCTATACTTAACTACATACAGGGATATTGGAATAGTATCAAGTCCTGGATATGAATATTAAATCTCCAGAGGGCTGTATCAATCAAGTCATCCTCTAAGTGTTTCTTGCTGGTGACTGTTATGTATTTGTTGAGTCTTGGAGTCCTGGAAAGATAAAGAGAAAACAAAACAAGACAAAACAACAGCAGCAACAACAACAAAACTATGACTTTGGGGGAGCCGTGAATCCTTACAACATTACTGTAAGGCCATTGCAATTAACTAGAGAAATTATTACATAGTAATGTAAAGTTGCTCCACCAAAGCTTTTGTAGTTACTGACAAAAGTTTAGACATCTGAACTTCTGGTTCTTATTTAAGTTTGCCATTTCATCTGTTTTCCAAGAGAACATTCTCTGATGATAGCACTGGAAAATATCAACACTGTCATTAACCACATGTGACTGTTGGTTACTAGGAGCTAAATTTTAAGGTCTGTTCAAATTAATCGTCAGCCACATGTGACTAGTGGTTACTATATTGAACAATGCAGCCTTAGAGTCTAAATCTAATGGGATATGTAATTTTCACTTCACAGAGGTTCACACTGATTAAGAAACTTTATCTGTGTTACCTTAATTAATCCTCTTAGGTGCTCTGTTTTACAAGACAGAATGTTGTATTCCAGAGAAGTGCAGTAACATAACTAATAACATAGCCCTAGTCGGGGTTGAAACTCTGCTCTAAAGCCACTGCTCTTTGTTTTATACCTGTCAGACTCAAATTCACAATACTTATGCTATTTATAGTCATGATGATTCAAAAGTATGTTGTAGACAAAGACATATAGTAAGCCGAGTTCTTGAATGTATCCCTTGTTTAGTGTATTCCACACTTTGGGAAGCAAAATTTAAAGATTCAAAGAGCACAATATGAATTGGGCAGGGTGTATGAACTAGTGTGAATAACATCTCTCACACCTGCAAAATGCTTAAAGTTGGGGCTATTTTCTAAGGAGCTGATCTAAATGTCTTGTTAATTCATTGCTTTCCCAACCTCCAAAATCATGACCCCCCAAAAGCCAAAGGAGCAAAAAGGGTAAAAGCTAGACGCTTCACTCAGCATTTTCACAATGGCACCCAGACCCAGAAGAGGAGGTGGGACATATATGCTCACATTCAGAGGTAGATGACAATCTCAGGGATCAAAGAAAGCTCGCACATACCTTTTTAGAACAAAAATTGTGAACAAAGTACCTGTGTTCATTATGAGTGAAAAAAAGGGAACAGCATAATGACTATAGAGAGAGGCTAGATATAAACAGAAAAGTAAAAGCACAATACAAATAATCTTTTGGATAAACATGTAATTAAAAAAAGTTAAGCATCTTAACAGTGGCTGCATGGTATGGATCCTGAGAAAATTCAATTAAGTAAGAAAATAATTATGGACTGAAAAAATAGAAGAAAATGTAGCCAAAGAAGCCAGTTGAAGACCAGGAAAAGAACATCAATACTGAAAAACTAATCAATGTATCACTCAAAAAATAATGAATCCTAAAAATACTGCAAGGCACAAGATGTCCTCTACTACCAGTGAGGAATCTTCTAACCTAAAAGTCAATGGTGTCAAGATTGAGAAGCCCTCATTTAACTGAATTTAACTAATTTACAAAAGTGAAGGTGGATCATGAGTTTTTATTAAAGACATAGGAAAAAAAAAACCCTGAAACATTGATATAAAATAAGAAAATTGTATGATTTACAGTGAAAGGGAAA